TGGGTGGTGATTGATGATGTCCGAGGCGAGAGTCCCGCCAGGAACTGATGTATCAGAATTCAGCAAGGGATTCATTCAACCTTGTGGTGGCTATCCGGCAAGCTGTGCAGCCACTACTGCAGCGAGATCATGATTGGCAACACGGGCCCCGCGTGTTGAAGACATTCCAAACTTACTCATACATTCATAGTTCGTCCTTCGCCCCATTCATTATCTATCCCTGGCGGGAGGTCGTTGCCGGGGGGGCGGCAGTGGGATTGACATATGGGGGACGCACTCGTAAGCTGTACGCACATCTGTGCAACTTGTAGCATGCTTATGCATACATGTATTTATGCATGTACTGTACGGACTACGAAGTACTATCGCTCTCTCTATCTCCAGTTTCATCTGCATTGTCAAACAGATCCATATGCAAAAGCAAGAGGGACGCCGAGTCGGTTCCCGCCACCAACGTTGCATGCCCCTGGTGGAAGGATGTGTCTAGACGGGGGGAATGGATCTATCCCTCGGTCAGCGCCTCTCTCTCTCTCCACTGCACCCCACGGAGGCCACAAATGCAGATGCAGACACGCATCAGCCGTACATCATCAACATTTTCTGTTCTGTCTCCATCGCCAAATCTGTAGGCGCGTATGATGCATCCTCTCTCTCATCTTTGTCTTCCAGTCCCACTCCATGCTCCTCACCCGATACCAGTACTAAACTAAGTTTTCCATGACAGAACCAGGCCAACTCGGAAGTATGTCTCATTCTCGCAGTGATCAACAAAACCCCCGCCATGGCATGATGTTGTTTGTATTCGTTGTGTAGATCTCGTGTGCAAAGTTCCGTCATCGAAGAGACAGAACCCTAGTGCGTATCACATTACATGAGAGAGTTGTTTGCTCGCCGGCTGCAAGGACAAAGATCGTTCAATACATGTAGGTATATCGCCAATAACTCCATCTCAATGCAGTCAGTCATCGTTTGTTAAGTTCTCGAATTCTCCGATCGATGACGATGGAGGTACCTGAGGCTATGTATGGGGCTATTTCTGCTACCCTCCGTAAACTGCTAGCAGTAGGGGAGTCCGCGGAGTACAGGGAACTAGTTGAAGTACCCCGCATCTTGCATAACGCCATTTTGACTTCATTGATCGGCTACCGAGAAAAAGCTTCCAACAACATAGGAATCCATGCGACCCTGTTTCTTTGTTTCTGGGTTTACATTAAGTATGAGTGGGCTTTCCTGGCAGTGCAGTGGCTCGTACTCAGACAACGAAAGATGATTACATGAGTGCTGTCCATAGAGGTATAGATATGTACAGTTTACTGAGTATAGCAGGTTTGACGTTGGCGCAGGAGGCTTACTCCGCATAATATGGAGAAAATATAGATTCCGCCCACAGATCAGTATGGGTCGCGCGCATGGGGTAAGATGCCGGGAGAATACTACCTACTCATAATAACCTGAGCTTGTTCATAATTCAAGATTCTATGCCGCACGCTAACTGGGATCAAGTAGGAGCGACTCTAGTACTACCACCAGCAACCTCATTCGTCTCTCAATGTTGATGCTGGGACGAACCTTACCATCGACGACTGAATTGGTTTAAGCTGTGGCTGCTGCCGTGATCGAACCGGCAGGTCACAAGAAACTGTTTGCGTCTCATTGGAAAACACTGGTTAATCATGGTTTGTCTTACTGTAGCAAGCCCTCGGCTCTTGGTTTAGCAAAAAGAAAACTGCGTCTGATCCGAGTCAATTAAGATGAGAGCGTGGTGATGTTTGGCGTGGATTATGCTAACCTCGAACCTTCGCAGCAAGGCCTTGAGGACGCTGCCTCTTGCGTTTAGTTCTCAAACAATACAACTGTACTGATGTAACGCTGTCACATATGGTGCTGGGTAATACATACTCACTAATTGATGCAAGAGCAAGCAATTGGATAGAAGTGAGGAAGTAGTAGATAACTCGATCTAACATTGTTACTAGTAGTAACGGAAAAAAGCTACGGTGCCTGGGTAGTCACGCATTATATATATAGATAGAACCCAAGCATTGACAATGAATTCAGGAGTCAGACACAAGATGACCGGATCTTCGCGATTGCACGTTCAAAAACGAAAATGACGGTAGAAACTATCTTACTCTTTCCAGATCTCCAATACAGAACAGAATAGATAATAGCTTGATGCATTGGTGCATCTCGATTGACGGGGAAAGGAGCCGCGGGCGGGCCGCAAGCCCGCAAGATCCGCGCTTCTTCCATCGATGCCTCTCGCGGAACCACTTCCAATCCCGCTCCTCCCACTCGCCATGTCGGAGTCCGGGGATCAGCTCAAGCGCAAACGTGCCCGGGTCGCTTGCGAGCCATGTCGGCAGAGGAAAAGGAAATGCAATGGAGCAACCCCCTGCGCAACCTGCACTGACTGGGGCTATAACTGCCACTATACAGATCAAACGCCCCGGAAACGTCGTCTATCGCAGCCGTCTTCCGCTGCGACGGCAGCGAAGCCATCCTCTCCCGCCGCCGCCGCCGCAGCATCAGTGGGAGGAGAGTCTCTCCGCTCGCCCGATGAAGCCGGCACTCAATCCCATCACCATCAAGACATAGCCCGCAGTCTCGAAGCGAATTCCGCCGCCGCGTTTGTACGCAAGATGGGCCTCAAGGTTGATCCCGCCCAGGCGCCGAAACTTGCCCTGTTCGGATGGAACATCGGCGCACGGCAGTTACCCTCCGGAACGGGGGCGATTGCCGCCCGACCCATTGTCGATGTCATCTCGGTGGCCCAGATGAAGCAGCTGGCCGAGGTCTACTTCACCAAGATCGATCCATGCTACGGCTTCATCGACCGGCGCGTGTTCGACGACCGCCTCGAGACCCGATGGCAGACCCCGCTGTCCAGCGGTTCCATCCATGACAGCGTCCTCGCCGGAGTCGCGGCGCTAGGCTCGCTCTTCTCCCAACGGAGCATGACTATCACGGAGCTTCACCTCGTCGAATCCGCCCGGTTGATCCTGGACGGCCACGACGGATCCGGACCCCCATCCCTCGAGCTGGTGACGGGCTGGGCGCTCCGCGTGGTCTACATGCGCATGACGGCGGCGCCGCACGCCACCTGGATTGCCAGTTCGACGCTGATGCACCTTATTGAGGCGGCCGGTCTGCACCTGGAACCTTCTTCTCCTTCTACCACGTCGCACGACACCGTCCCGTTGCGCGCTCCGGCCACCACGCAACCCCACGACCGGGAGATCAACCGTCGCCTCGTGGGCGTCGCGCACCACCTCAACATCTGGACCTCCTTCGACCTCGGCCTATCCCGCGTCTCCTTCCGCACGGGACTGCCGCTGCCGGCCTCGCCCACGAACCCAGGCGACTACACGCCCGAGGTGCTTAACCTCCTCCCGGCCTCGGCATGCCTCGACCCGGAGAACTCGCAAACAGACAGCGACCTCGAGCCGACCCTCACCAGAGTCCTGCAGGGCACTCACACGCAACCCCCGTCCGTGATGGCCCAGACCAACCTCGTCCTCTGCATCCTGCGCCGGCTCCGCATTCTGAACCTCTCCATCACCCCGCAGGTCACGGACCAGGTCCTCGTCCTCTTCGGCCAGGCCCTGTCGTACGCGCGCACCATGGTCACGGACGGCAGCCCCTGGCACCAGGTCGCCAACGTCCCGATGCAGATCCTCTATGTCCTGCTGGAGATGGACACGCGGGCGTCGCTGGCGATGCTGCCCGCCGCGATGCAGACGGTGACGCTAGTGGCGACCACGTACGATACCGCCACGATGCGGGAGGCGTACAGCACCGCGCGCTTGCTGGTGTCGCTGTACCAGCAGCGTCGCTCGGAGGACACGAGGGTGTTGGCCGAGGTGCTGAATCTGGCTCCCGGGGCAGGGGAGACCGTGACCGAGCCATTCAGCCCGAGGGTCGACGAGCTATCTTGGTTGGAGGGCTTGGTCGCAGAGATGCCCAGTTTACAAGGCCTTGAGCTAGAGCCCTGGCTCCAAGGAGATGTACTTGCCGGAGGTGAAGGATGGGAGTAACACAGATCGAATTGGCCCGCAGAATGAGAGCAGTGAAGGAACGACAGCAGCAGCAGCAGCAGCCGTCACCTAGTAGGTGAATTGCCTTCTGCCAGAGTAACAGTAACACACCAAGAGATGGGTGTTTCTACACCTCATGGAGAACCCCTTCTGTTGCTCCTCCACCTCTACCTTCCCTTCTCCTCCAAAATCGACACGACAATTTCCGGCGACTGGTTACGCCCCCCAAAAAAAGCTTCCCTCCTTCTATTCCGCTTCTGTCTACAGTTCGTCGGCAGGTCCGGTAAGAACCTCAGTCAAACGTAACTATTCCCAGTGGTGATGCTGACCTGACCAGATAGTCTAATACTCTAATCTCGCCCAAAGCATAGCGCGCGGGCCTCTCTCCTTAGAGTCGAGTACTATCCTTGTTTTTGTCTGGCAGGTAAGTTTGTTCATAACTGCGGGACTAATAGGAGTATAAACTTACGATTTGCCCTCTATCACTAGCCAAGCTTTATCCGGACAGAATGTCGGCTCGCTCGGGAATGGAAGGGTTTTGCAAAGTGTGCCTTCACGCAAACAACGAACACTACACTGCGCCCTGCCCTGCCACTGGTTGCCTGAACAGATGGAAGGAATGCACTGCCAGTAACTGCTTTAGAGAGCGTCCTAAGGGCTCTAAGGGCTCTAAGGGTTCGAAGGCTCTACCATACAGGGTGTGCTTTGGATGCAAGGACCACCCGGCATGCAGCGAGAATCTCGATTTCAGCGGCGACCAGGTTGATGTCCCGGAGAAGCAGAATGAGGACTACGCCGCGACTGGGACTGCGGGGGGTCAAGATGATAATGGAGACTGGACCCGCTGATTTCATTCCTTGAATTTTTTGCAGACATTGCAAATGTAGATCTGAACATACCCGCATGTTGCGGCAATAGCGCTGTGTTCATCTTGTCCATACTGAGCGCGGTCATTTCATAGGATCATGAACCAAGCTTCTGGCAGCCATCGTGCTCAATCACATCTCTCCATTTCAAGATTCTTTCCAAATCAAGCTCCTTGTGCTCGGGCTCAGAAACCGGGAAGTCGTTGTTGTTCCAGGGGTCTTTGATCCAAGGATGTATCTGCATACGACGGATGGCATCAACGTCACCCGACCCATCATCAAGCCATATGGCACCCTCATGATGCCTCTGCCAACAGAAGAGTCTTCGTGTTCCATTGCCCGATTGTCCTTCAGCCAAACTTCTTAAAGGATGAGGCAACCTGGATTGTCAGCACATACCAAAAGTTGATCGTTGTCATTGGCTTACTCGTCAGAATTTCCTGCACAATCAAAGTAGTTCATAATATGAACCTCCGAACTTTCGAAGTCATGCTTGCTGCTCGCAGGGATTTTTTGCTCAGACTCTAGTATCCAGTATATCTGCCAAGAGCGAGGTCTATGCATGTGTGACAGATGCTCCCTCGCTTCGAGGCTTAGATTTGTGACTGGAGTTGAGCCAAATGGCGGTGCTGGGGACCATGGCCATGGCAGTGAAGTAGTATTGGACAGACAGAAGTGCGAGGTCTGAAATTCATCCACCCGAGTGCATAAAAGCTCCTTGGAGGAGGCTGAACGGTAGTTCATCTGAAGGAACGATTGGTGTGTATTTGTCCAGTACGCGGCAGGCAGACAAAGAATTGGTATCCCGCTAAGCGACCACCTCAGCAGGGGCATCACCTGGTTGGTGTAGATTGCTGCTGTCCAAAAAAGACCCAGATATGGTTTCACATACATGATCGCGTTGAGGAGCTGCTGTTTGTCAATCTTGTCAATAAAAGGGCGCAAGTCGTCACATGGCTTGTGCTCTGTGTGCAGCTGCCGCTTGCTCATCGTCTCGGTTGGCGAAAGAGCTTCAATTATGCCTAAAATACCGGCCCCTACGAGATTGCAGGGCACGCTAGGGTCAAAGAACACACTGCAACTCAGTGAGTCGATAGCCTCTCCTGTTGTGCTGAGAAACATGCATTGATCGATTGATCGGAACAGCTTGTCGTAAATGGTGTTCTTGCAAACTGGGCCAGGGCTCAAAGACATGGCTGGGATCATCACAGGAGGAGGGAATTTGGGTCGAGATATCGTCCATGGTTCTAGATTCAGGATCGCAGCAAGACCAATGAGTAACTCTCCTTCGAGGCCTTCAAATGTGCAAAATCTGACAAGGGCGCCAAAAGCAAGGGCTGAATCTGAAGCGGCCGATTCCCATTCATCTCTATCAAGCAGGTTAGCGGGCAGATATCAAGAACAGCTCAGGCAATAGACATACTGGGGGTAAGTGATGTCAGACAACCTCAGCATCCAAGGAGAGTAGAGCTGTTCTTCCTCGTCTTCGGGGTCCCTGCATCGAGCTTCCCAATGACCCTGCAGAACAATGTCCCAGAAAGAGTTTTCAAGCTGCAAGCCTTTTGCATGGAACATGTGGCACTCCAATCCAGCTTGCTGTAGAATCTCCACCCAGCGGGCAGAAAGGATATAACACCACGCTAGGGCGATGCTGGTGAAATACCCGGCACGAAGAGGGCTGGCAGAGGCGGGAATTGATACTTCTGTTGGCACCTCCGTAGCAGTACGGCATGTGACAGGCCGTGGCTTTGCGACGAAGTGACGATACTTGAGTGACATGCGAGGTCGATCGCAGGAGGGATCCTCCGTCGAGTCGATGCATATCTCTGATTCAATAAGACAGTCTCCCACAAATCTCGCCACCTCTTCTGGAGGAGAATGAAAAAATGGAGGAATGTCCTTGAGCAGGTTTAAGAAGGATTGTATGTAGAAATCCAACGAGTCAGAGCCCGGGATATGCGCAGTAGCCGCATGTTTCCACTGAGCAAGCTTGGATCGATAGCACAGATTGAACTGCGATGTTGTTGGACAGATTCCATCACCAGGAGAAACTCCAGAGCTATTGTGCGAAGAGCCTGAGGGTTCTACACTTTTGTGAGTGGCCTGGGTTATAACTCCATTGTCAGCGATCGGTAGATGCTTGGAGACGTGCTGTGAATCGACGCCAATACTGAGGGGTGATGATGGGCTGCTGTGAGATAAATCTGATGCTTTATCACTTTGATGAGATGTAGGGGTTGAATCTTCATTTTCCATGACTGATGTCATGTTGAAGATGTGTCGCGGAAGGTAGAAAGTGAGTTATAGGTTGGAGAGAGTAAACAAAGTAGAATCAGTTTCAGAGCCTAACAAGAAAGCAGTTTGTGGAAGAAGACAAGTGCTGGCTCCAGGTTGCTGGTTTCTCTGGTGCTGAGAAACTCGTTAGAGCTTCTCCTTTTCTTCTGAGTGAAGTGAGGAAATGTAGAGATGTGGATGGGAGGTTGGTGGCTGCTTCTTAATCGGGTACTCGACACGCGACGGGCATGGAGTGTCAGGTGATCAGAGCATGTTGATGCAATTCAATGTTTTTCTACTACTTCGAGGCAATTCAGTATCTGTCACATGATGTGGTTTCTTTGATTTGGACTAAACACTTGGTTTGTTATGAGGTCCTAGTACTAGATGCCACGGACTCATCCCGACCAACTATTCATGTCCATCCGTTGGCCAGATCTGGCCGTTCTTGGTCTTCACCACACTGAATTTCCCAGCCTTACGATCCGCGATTATCACCTCTTTGGGCTTGATAAACAATGGTTCGACGGTGTCATGGTACTCATTGAGGTACGGTCTTTTCATCGCCACCTGCTCCCATATCAGTAGAAGAGATCCAAGCCGAAGAGAACTATCTTTTGAAGGAAGCAGAAGCCATACATTCACCACCCATTCTTTTGATGCGTTCCTGGAGAACAATCAATGAGCAACGACTGACAATAAGCATGATAGATAGTTAGAACGAGGTTACCAATTCTTGAGCACCAAAATCTCTCCCTTGTTTTCCTGCGACTGATACACTTCGAAGAGCGTGCATTCGGGCTCGCGGGCAATCTTGTAAAAGACAGCCCCGAGGGCTTCGAAGTATTTCGCAACGTCCTTCTCCGCCACCCAGATGCGCACCTGGAGCGACACAAGATCAGAAGACTCCGACATGGTGAAGGCTTGCGAGAATCGGTCTTGAAATGTAGCTTCAGAGCAGTCTTCGTCTGGTCTCCAACGACAGATTTATGAGGGCTTTATATAACCCCCCGACATCCAGATCTGGGTCTTGCAGCTAGTAAGTGTGACCCGCCATAGTGGGGGTTACACATCCTCAGCATTGAGTCGCTCGACTTGAGCATTGAACTGTCTTTCCGCGATGTGGTGCTACTTCTGAGAACTCACTACCCACGCATCCTCGATACTAGCCAACTGTTGACTGGGGGGTCCCACAGAACAGCTCTAATAGGGATCTCAACCGCGGACTGTAAGGGCCTATCTTGCAATTGCAAGTGATACAGAGCACACCTCGTGGGTGTAGCCTATAGAGGAAGCACTTCACTCTGTCACCAGATTGTCATCTGAGCTACAATCGATGGGTCACCCGACAAGTTCGAGAACATCGCATGAGGTGGAATTTCCAGTATTTAAATGTAGACAGCACACTTGTATCCATGAAGATGTCAATGCTATCTGCTACGCCCTCGAAACCGACAAGAGGGATGGCCAAGCTATATCAATTGGACAGCCTTCTTCGGATCATTTTACCCGAGCATTTCATCTTGGGCTATTCAGCGGAAGACTGAGACTGTAATAACTGTTACCAGAACGGAGAGATGTGGTTGTACCATCACAAACCAAGCCACAGCATGGGTTCTGCAGAGAGTTTACTCACAGACATTGAAGAAGTAAACCGTTCCTGGCAATCACATGCGTTCAACTATGCAAGTGACACCCAAGGTTAATTCCGAAAGAGGTTAGACCATTCCCCGCAGCAACCGAAGCTTCCCCCCCCACCAAACTCACACGCCGCCCGCCGGCCCGGTCTCGTCGCCGGTGAGTAACAGCATCACCACCCCCTCACCTTCATTACTACTACCCTACATCTCAATCCCTCCATTCCTCTCTTCTCTCCGAACTTTCACAGATACCCCAACCATACTCCAAGCCCGACAACCAAATCAACCACAATGCCCTCCCTCAAAGAAAGCACCATCGCCTTCATCGGCGGCGGCAACATGGCCTCGGCGATCATCAAGGGCCTGGTCGTGCAGAACATCGAGAAGCAGAAGATCATCGTCGCCGAACCGTGGGAGGTCAACCGCTCCAAGATGGACGCCATTGGTGTGCGCACCACGACCGACAACGTCGCCGCCGGCGGGGACGCCGACATCGTAATCATTGCCGTCAAGCCGCAGATCACCAAGACCGTGTGCCAGGAGCTGGCCGCCTCGTGGGCCCAGCGCTCCGCGCTCCCCATCGTTGTCAGCATCGCCGCCGGCATCACGATGAAGAGCCTGCGCGAGTGGGTCCAGACGAGCGACGGCCGCTCCGCGCACATCGTGCGCGTCATGCCCAACACCCCTGCCTTGGTGAACGAGGGCGCCTCGGGTCTGGTCGCCAGTGAGGATGTCACGGCGCAGGAGAAGGAGGTCATCAACGAGCTTCTGGGCAGTGTGAGCAAGGCGACGGAGTGGGTGGATCGCGAGGAGCTGTTGGACGTTGTCACCGGGTTGTCTGGTATGGTTTTCCCCACCCCTTCCAAATTTCCTCCTGAAGGGCTTCTAGCTGACCAGACTTGATCTTCAGGATCCGGCCCGGCCTATTTCTTCGCCATGGTCGAGCATCTGGTGGCCAGCGCCACGGCTCTGGGACTGTCCAAGGAGCAGGCGACCCGTCTGGCGGCGCAGACGTGCCTGGGTGCCGGCAAGATGCTGGTGGAGTCGGACGAGGAGCCCGCGCAGCTGCGCAAGAACGTCACCAGCCCCAACGGCACGACACACGCGGCCCTGCAGACCTTCGAGGCGCTGAATTTCAAGGAGATCGTCGACAAGGCCGTGCAGTCCGCTACGGCACGGGCGGAGGAGTTGGGCAAGACCCTCGGTTAAATATGATCTTCGTTAGGTACAAAAGATGACATAGAGTTTATGATTCGAACTTTTCTTCCCAACAGCTACAAACTCTTCTCTGAGGAAACTTAGTGCTTTGAAAATTGGCGTGGTAGCGTCAACATAGAACACTTAAGACGAGACTCCAAAACAACACAACCTCTCGACACCCACTACTGTACCACTACCGGTGAAAAGCTGCTTTATGCACAAAATTACAATTCAATTCCAAGATAATCCAAACAAAAATCTTTTAGCCGACATGTTAGCAGAAGCATTACAATACATCATTATGGAACATACATTAGAGCACGGCGCCATTCGGACTCCCCCGTCACCACTTAGGTATGGGAGGAAAGAGAAGGCGCTGGCTGTGGAAAGAGTACAAGGTTGATAGGCAGCACACGAACCGAGAACCGGGCAGTCCCTCAAGCGGCGTGCATGGCACCGTGCTTGCAGTATGTGCCCGCAGCAACGGATCCCATGTGCACCGGACGGCCGTGAGCACACAGGGCCCAGCTCTTGCCGTCCTCGTCACAGATGATGGTGTTGTCGACGCAAGCGCCACCGTGGGTGTTACTGTGGGCGGTACCGTGAGCGGCACCGTGCACGTTTCCATGGGAGGAGCTACCGCTACCGCTACCACCACTGCCACCAGGGGCAGCGCGGTTGGAATCAGCCTCTGCGGGGACAGGGGCAGCAGGGGCAGTGGGGAGGAGCACGGTGTGCTCAGTGTTGGAACCAAAGGCGGAAGCCACCTTAGAGGCAGACGAGTGGGAGGCGGACGAAGAGGAAGAGGAAGAGGATGGCGATGCAAACCCCGCTGCCGAGGAAGTCAATGCGTTGTGGGAGGAGGAAGAGGAAGAAGCAGAGGACGAGGCGGCGGAGTTGGAGCCGTGGGAGCCGCCCAGGAAATCCGCCGAGCCCGTGCAGGTGTACCCGGTGCCGGAGCCGCTACCCTCCACGGACGAGCCGGGCAGCGGGAAGTTGACATCCTGGCCTTCCGTGGTCGTGCAGCCGCCCGGTCCGTTGATGTTGGCGATGAACATGGGCGGGGCGCTGCTGTAGCTGGCGACCGCCCCGGCGACCTCCTGCTGCGCGACGTCTCGCTTTTTGGAGCCGCCGATGGTGACCTGGGCGCAGTTCATGTACATCTCGCGGTTGCCGACTTTGTTGAACCACGACCACGCCAGGAGCGCCTGCCCGCCGGGAGCGTCCGAGGGGATCGAGAACTGGTACTTGGAGGTGAGGGGGCATCCGCCGATCATCGAGTGGATCACCTTGAAGGACTTGCCCTGGTCGTACGAGAGGGAGATTTGGCAGGACCCTCCCTCGTGCGTGGCACTGCCCTGCAGTTCCAGGCTGTATGAACCACCGGGAGAGTAGTTGGCCACCGACGAGAACGGGTCATTCGCGTATCCCTTGCACGGGAAGTCGTGGCCGTCGCTGGACAGAGGGTTGGTGTATGAGTAGTCCTTGTTGTCTCCGCCGTTGGGGTTGAGGGGACTGCGGATGGGGTACGGGTTGGACATCTGGATGTGGGCCGACACCGACGAGGCCAGAAGCCCGCAAAAAAGGGCAGCACTCTTCATATTCAGGTATATGGGAACGCGTGGTTGTCTCTGACACGAAAGGGAGCCGACTAAACTGGGGTAATCGGCTTGGTTAGTCGTGGGTTCTTCATGTCAAGTGTCTTCAACCTTGTGAAGGCTCGGTATTATAACACTTACACTGCTTGTATCCACAGTCAGACAGATATGCCACAATTGCGTTAATGTTCACTGAGGTAGACAACGGCTCGTCTGCCCGAGTAGCGTTTTCAAGAGATACCCTGGGCTGCGCACGAAGGAGAAGGCACAGACATCCCAACAGCAAGAGATGAAGGAAACCAGTTCCTATAAATAATATGAATAGCAAGTGGCATGCCTGACAAGCTTATTCCAGGTCTCCGACTGGGTCCCTGGAGGAATGGTGGATGTCCTGTTGCAACGGAATGCAGGTCCGCGTAGGCTTGACAACAAAAGAGCCATCGGCATTCCGTGCCACCTGCTCGACCGAGTCCGCTGTTCGATGAATCTGCTTCATCTCGATCTTCTTGCTTAGACTCTCTGTGTCTGATCTGTAAAGATCTTGAAATGTTAGTTAGAGGCTTCTAACCAAGCTCCAATGTTGCTATAGCTCGCTCATAGCCATAACAAAGGCCGGACCCGGCGTCAGTCGTGCGTATATGCAATATAGAGTTTAAACCAGGAAAGTAAGCAACCAATAACAAATGCATCGTACCTAAGCTGAATCTCTGATCGCCAGGCACAGTATTGTCGGTAGCCTGAGCCACGGCTTTCCAAACACAGATGGTGCATCAACGGTTGACCCAACGGTCGATCACCCTAGCTGCCTTGAGCAGCAAGTATTTAGACAGGCATCCACCCCCAATCTCGAAACTTATTTTTGTCTCCCTCTTGCATCATAGTTCTGCCCTATTGGCCATGGCATTGGCTCCTTCTTTCGGCCGCAATGTCTCGCATCACGAGAATACTAACCACTGCGTCTTGGATTCCGCTCCCGAATGTTTTAGACCTAGTCCCCTGATCCGGGTTTCAATGTTCTCCCACTGGATACTTTGGCAAAAGAAGCCCCTGTCCAGCCAGTGAAGGAGGAAGCGAAACTATTCGTGCCCGTCCAACATGCCAAACGTTCCCAGGGCAGACAGGGGGGGCGGGGGAGGCTGGGAATCTGGATGAGCCCCCGGAGGTTTGCCACCCCCTACGGGGACGGGCGAGTCAAGAAAAAGAAAGCCAGATAATACTCGTACTAATGTATATTGGACTTAGGATTGGAGACTTTCATGAGGATCTGCAACCCTTTCCGTTTCGCGCGCACTGGCCCTTGCAGGCACGTCTCGAGGCCAGGAGGACTTGCTGTCCAAGGCATTCTTCGTCTGCCGCTGCTTCAGCGCCCGTGACGAAATTGGGTTCATGTTGCGCTATTGCTTTCTAATCCGTGTCCAAAGGTTTTGGCGGGGTATGTTTCTCTCGTCGAATTCGCGTAGATAGCGCTGTGGCCGAACGGTGTCCGTGGTGTCCGTGAGGGTTCAGAAACATAGGTAAAAGGGCGCAAGGGGCTTCCCTCTTAGAGAGGGTATTCGACACGGTTCTCGGAACGTTTGGGCCAGAGGTAGTGAGCTGAGCAAGCCATGCTCAATGTCTGGAGAAGCGCAGAAATTTTCCGCTCTGCTAATGCACCACACATACTTCTGTGATATAAGGAAGTCAGAGTGATTGGACTGGCGAGACGAGACCTGAGCTTTCAGGCAATGGTCTGCTGTTGACTTTCAGCTTCGAGTTAGCTTCAGCGAGGTAGTCAGAGACCCGGAGCCTAGTAGAAGCAGTAGATAGCAAAGAGAAGCTTATACACAAGAGAGATTCGATAGAGAAACCGAAGCTCGGATAGACTATTTGCGTAGTATATCCAGCCCAAAGCTTGACGAAGCGATCCACGGACCACCACTAGTCCTAATCCGGTAAGCAGATCGCAGCGCCCCGGTTTCTGTTTGCACCCCAAGCAAACAACAGCTTCCGATGATGAATTAGCGTCACAATCCAATCCAATCCAAGCTTGCCCGAATCATACGAACTACACATACGACCCGACCGACCTCTCTGAACAGGAACACCCAAAGACAAAGGAAAATCATCACCATGTCCGAAGGCGGAGGCTGGAGCACCATTGAATCCGACGAGGTAAAGCAACTCTGCACCAAAATACAGTACAGAACAAGACAATCTAACCGCCCGCACCGCAAACGCAAATAGGGCGTCTTCACCTCTCTGATCGAGAACCTCGGCGTCAAAGACGTGCAATTCGAAGAACTCATCTCCTTAGACGCCGACACGATCCGCTCATTAAGGTATACCCCCTTCACCCACCAACACACCAACCCACAACACCAACCCCCCAACCATCTATCTCACTAACCAACCAAACCAACCATCACGCAGCCCCGTCTACGGCGTCATCTTCCTCTTCAAATGGATCCGCGACCACCCCCCATCCACAAGTACATCAACACAACAACCCCCGGCAGGAACCCCCGACCCAACCCCCCCACCAACGCTCTTCTTCGCGAACCAAACCATCCAAAACGCCTGCGGCACGCAAGCCATCCTCTCCGTGATTTTCAACCACGACACCCCCTCACCCTCCACCTCCGAGTTACCAAAAATCGACATCGGACCTGAACTCCGCGCCTTCAAGGATTTCACCACGGGGTTTCCCCCGGATCTCCTGGGCGAGGCGCTGTCGAACAGCGAACCGATCCGGACCGCGCACAACGCCTTCGCGCGGTCCTCGCCCTTCGTCGACGAGACCCAGCGCCCCCAACAGGATGAAGAAGGCGGGGACGTCTATCACTTCATCGCGTACACGCCCGTCGCCGGCCGGCTGTATGAGCTGGACGGCCTGCAGCCGCATCCCATCGTCCACGGGGACTGTACCCCCGAGGACTTTCCCGAGAAGGTCATTGAGGTGATTCAGCAGCGCATCGCCCGGTACCCCGAGGGCGAGACGCGGTTCAACCTCATGGCCGTGTGCCGGGATCTGCGCGTCCGGGCCCGCGAGTTCGGCGACGCCGAAGCGCTGGAGAACGAGGAGCGCAAGCGGAGGGCCTGGGCGTGGGAGAATACCCTGCGCAAGTCGAATTTCGTGGGCTTCATCGGGGAGGTCATGAAGGGGGTGGCAGGCATGAAGGAGCAAGAGGGCAAATTCGACGAGTGGGTCGAGGGGGCCAAGAAGGAGACCCAGAGGAAGTTGCTGCGGAAGTGATTTCCCCGCCCTCTCTCTGCATTATGGCTAGCAGAAGGTTGCCTGTGGCTCCTTTGGATGATGAACTCAATTTAGAATCAGTGATGTGATGATACTCCTGGCTACGTAGGTATGATGTATTTATGTACAGTACAAAGACAAACATATGGCAGAAGAAAAGATCGCTTCGTCATTCATGTCCGACCAGTTCCCATCCTTATCGTGTGTGATCATCAGAGGCCACCTAGTACTTGGTGATCCGTGACTTGATTTGTTCGACCATTGGCGCCGGCAGTTCATCCTCTTGTACAAATCCCATCGACAAGAGGTCAGACCAGAAGAACATGGCGCGGTCTTGCGCATATGCGAGGTAGTCGAATTCGTCAGACTCATCGACATCCGCGTCCACCGGGGGAGTCGAGGTAGGCACATTAGTTGTCGTCTCTACGTGCGCGCCGTTACCATTCGCGGTATCACCTTGACCATTGGATGCTATGGGAACCGCGTTGATACCTTCTTCCATGCCTGGAATCTTCGCTTGGACAATTCCCCAAGCCACCCACTGAGCGGACGTGATCACGCGCCAGAGCTTTGTCTGCGTCATTAGGGCTTGAATCTTTGCTTCTATACCGTCCGCATGAAATCTCTCGATATCCACACTAGCCATCACATCCAAATCTGGACCGGCATCGAGACTCAGCGGCGCAAGAGAAGTCGGATTGGAAGTACCTGCCCGCATCAGTGGCGTGATGGACGGCGAGGCCTGCTCGCGCAATCCCGGCCGATGGCTGAGGTAAGCACTGATGAACTGACGTTGCTGTGCCGGAGTTGGGTATTCGGTATTATTGCACGCCCAAGGTCTTTCCGCGTCGTGATAGTTGTAGCACCATTCAGACTGTTAATGTGGGTTAGTGATGGATTTTGGCAGACAGCTCTAGAAAGTACTCACGAAGTGGTTCGCGAATTCAAAACCGGGCGTGTTCGCCGAAGCATATTCGAAATCGATCACAACGAGCTGCTTATGCTTGTTCTCAGGACGAAGCAGGGGCGACTCTTGACTTGGCTCCATTCTCAGCAGATTGCCATATTGTGTCTCGACACTCAATCAGCATTTTATCCGTAAAAGGTGGAAGCAACAGACTTACATCGTTGTGCGCAAAGACAAGTTGCTGTTTCAGGGCATTACTTCCGCCGCAACTGGAGATGAGCCACTTGCGATAATTGTCGACTGCCCTTCTGAATACCGGCCAGGGAACACCGCAAACAAAGCCTCGCCGACGCCATGGCTCTGAGATTGACTTGCTTGCGCTGTGCTCAGATTGAATCTCCTTGTCCAGCCAGTTGATGACCTGCTCGCAACGGTCGACCCATTTGTCCCAGTTTTTGAATACCACCGGCCCTCCTTCCCTCTCTTCTGGGAGCAATTCAACCCCGTCATGAAGTTCTCTCATCCGTTTGGCAATCTGCTTCATAGTGAGAGGATCCCGAAGCTCGCGGGGTGTCAAAGGACGGGCTTCGAAATACTCCTCAAAACGACCGTTCTGAAAGGTACCTAGCACTTTGGGACCGATGTTCTTACGGCCTAGGCGCCGAAGAATCTGTAACTCATTTTCTCGATCAATCAAGTGATCCACCTGCGGGCCATAGATGCGCAACAGAAGCTTCCTGCAGGGGGTTAGATCATCTCCTGTGACTTTCATCTGACTTGGGAAAGGAGGCACTTACGGAGGAGGCTTTCTCGCAACCAAAGAATAAGAACCATCCTCGGCCTTCGGGACCGGAATGTGCTGTGGCGGATTCACCACATACACCGCATTTGTCAGAGCACCGCTGAGTCGAATGACCTCAATGTCAGCGGCAAGATCCATGGGTAGCTTTCGCCATCCCTTGAACTGCAAGGTGTGCGCAATGCGGAGTATCTCAGTCTTGAAAGTCAGCCAGGCTTCTCTGTCTTTGGCGCAACGGACAATGGCCCCTTGTTCGCTGTCGTCATCGTCTGCGCCACCTCCGCTGTAGGCTAGGGTCTTAGAGTTGTCCAGCACCGCATCCACACTAGGAGCAGCGACGTCGAGATCCGAAAAGTCCGACTCGGAAGCCGATCCTCTCCGTAGTCCTCTAGATCGATGGCGTCGAAGTCGCCGCACAGCACCGTTGTCCTGTCGCGAAGCAGCGTACTGAAGCAAGATTTTCTCGAGCTTGTCGAGAGCCATGGGAATCTGTGTGCTGGAAGACGACCTCTCCTCTACTGACATGCCAATGCTATTGTTGCCTGCAACTTGGCCAGCACTTGCTGCGTCATCCGGAACGCCAGAACCTAGTGAGCGATGAGAACCGCGCTTAGATCTCTCGTGTTGAAGCCATTCATACACCTGGCTGTAAAGACTATTCTGCGAATCTTCTTCGCTGTACTTCATACTGGGGTCCTTTTCGTCGCGTATGGCAGATTCAGTCAAATTGCTGGAACTCTGGCTACTGAGAGAGGTCGGTGGATGGATTGGCGGTCGAGCTGTCGCTTTCTTGGGCACCGGGGCCCGGTGGTGCTTAGGAATGTTTGTTTCCGACGAAGTCGCTGAGTCCGAGTGGCCGGTCGTCTGACGATGTCTTTGGAAAGCCACATTTAGGCCAGTTCCCATGATCGGTTGGGGCCCTTGGCAATTGGTCAGAATCCAGCAACATCAAGTGACAGCACAACGAAGACAACGAATGTGCCAAGGGACGTTAAGCTTAAGACGGTCGAAAGCATGGTAAAAGTCGCAGTGGGCTATACATAGATCTGGTCCGAAAACAAAGCTTCCAGGAACCTACAGCTACAGGAGAGGCACAAACCAGAGAAAGGACAGGGCATGGAGCGGACTTGTGCTCAGACCTACCATCATAGTCGAGACCAGACTCAGAGGTCTGGCCGGTAAAAGAGGGCATGTTCAGGATACAAGACCCAGATTGGAGAAGCAGGAACCGTCTGCGCAACGGTGAGTTCAACCACAGAGGGTAATGCTGGTCAGGGCCGCGCGTCTGTGTGCTGGAGGTGTTGTCAGTCGGGGACGAAGAAGTTAGGAGCTTTTTTGGGGGGTAATCCATACTATAAGTCATATAGACCCGCAGGGGACACTGGAGCTCTGGCGGGCCAACAACGGGGTAAAAACTGTCAAAGAGTCCCGGGGAAGTTCGTTCAGGAAGAATACCGAGCGGAATTGGCACAATGGCGGGAAAACTGTTGAATTTGACCAGAATCGAAAAGAGGAAAAGAGGGTGACCAAGTGGGGGGTGGAGCGATAAAGGTGCCGTTCAGCAGCTGGCTCGAAAATACGGTCGGCGGACGGTCTCGATGGGGTTCCACTTAGGACCACAATCACATGTGATCAAGAAAGAAGTGAGAAAGGGAAGAGTAGGCGAAGATGGCACGATTGCTGTGCGAGATTAGAATACTTATTATGCGGGTGTAGGTGGTACACCACCACGGGCAATTCAACAATGATGTCGAAGGAATGAATTTCAAGCAAGTAAGTGAGTGAGTGAGTGGCAAATGACGATGTGTAGCGGCCGTGCAAACGGAAGGTGTGATGGGAGAGGCCCGGGGGAGGGAGGGAAGGAAGGAAGGAAGAGAAGATCAGGATCTCAGGTGACCTGCCAGTCCCGCCCATCAATTATCAAACTCGGCGGTGAAGCTCGTCCCACGAAGTGTTTCTACGGACAATCAAGCAACTTCTTCTGCAAGAGCACACGACAACCGGCAACACATGCTAATCTGTTTGCTTGTTTCCCCATTCCGGCTCAGCACTTTTCTGAGGATCAGAGACAGGTCGCGATATCGGCGAAGCAGCTGAGACAGGCAATTGTCTGCTTCAACCTCATCCCCCGGGCAGTGTTTGGTGAAATAAACCGACCGCTATGCCAACTGGCGCTATTGAGAACGTTGAGGGATTGTCTTACTCCAGTATAATGATATTTTGACTGCCAAGGTTCCGCTGTGATTCTCAATCAAAGTGGGATCCGACACTTGCAGTAGGCTCGCATGGGCCTTGACCCTATCTGCCATAGACCAGGAGCCGAGCACGTCAGGCATGGCTAATTTCCGATGTCGATCTGCGATCGAGTTTACAGGTGCCGCAGCCTGTAGTTAGTTGTATCTCGCTACTAAAGATACTGTTGAAAACACACCTACTTCAGTGGACCCATCGAGAAGTGAAGAGACTTAGAAACAAGTATTGCTTACAATATCGCGACCTCTGGAGAAGGCACTGCATCGCCTAACTGGTAAATTCGCAGTTGATCCAATTCGGGCTTTAGTCGGGTTACTCAAGTAAATCGTTGGGGGAGCGTCCCTGGTTCGCCCACTGCACCAGTCGCCAGTTGCAGTGGCCAAGTTCCTGTGCTGTGTTTGCTTTTATGCATGCTTAGTAACTAGGCATCGATATTTCCAGAACTCGGTGCCTCGCTCAGCCACCGGAAGGCATACGTAGTGGGTCGCTGAGCCGCAATCGCATGTCCCTCGATCTACAGGATTCGCCGGACTGCCCCCAAATCACCAAACCACCAAACCACCATTCGCTGTTCCGTCAAATCCGCGCGAGCAAGTGGATGCGCAAAAACCGACAGCCACGGTGGCTCGGGACGGCAATGCCATCGGTGACTGGATGCTATTCTTGTTTCTGAGAATCTGACCGATCGGAAGGGGTCGGGCAACTGTTGGGACTGGGACGAAACTGGGACCGGACCCTCCAGGGGACTGACGATCCCCAAATTTCAGGTCCTTGGGGGTTTTGTGTACCCATCGTTTGCCGCATCTGCCGATTGTTATAAATTGCTCGTCTTTCGTCGTTACCTAGCGTTGATCTTCTGTGATCTACTATTTATTTCTGGACATCTACATAAATACCCCATATACCCATATACCCCGGGTTCAATCACAGTTATCATCAGCGTTCCTTATCCTTATCCTTATCTCGCCTAACCACTTTCCACCCACCACCTCTACTATACACCTCTCGCCCTCATTCCTACCAACCGCATTACCATCTACAAATCACAGGAAACCCTCACCATGCAACTCCAAACCCTCCTTCTGACCACCGCCTTCCTCAGCGCCTCCGCCCTCGCCGCCCCCCAGGGCGACATCGTCGGCAGCATCGTGTCGGGTGCCGAGGGCATTGCGCAGACGGTGGCCTCGGGGGCCGAGAACGCGGCGACCAACATCGTCTCGGCGGCGACCTCGATCGCCAGCGCGGCCGAGACGGGCGGTGCGGCCGCCGCCTCCGACGCCCGCTCCTGGGGTGAATCGGTTGCCTCTAACGCCGAGTCCTACGGGCAGTCGGTCGCCTCCGACGCGCGGTCCCGGGCTTCCGACGTCGCGTCCAAGGCTTCCTCCCGCTGGGACGACCTGACCACCCTCACCGGCACCAACGGCGAGGCCACGGCCACCTCGACCGTCTCCGGCGGGAACACCGCGACGGTGACCACGGCGACCGCCACTACGACCGGTACCACCTCCACCACTGGTACGTCGACTGGCAGCAGCCGCAGCAGCAGCAGCAGCACGGCCTCGACCTCCAGCTCCGAGGGCGCGGGTGTCCAGGCCACTCCCGCTGCAGTGTTGGGTTATGGCATCGCCGGCGTGGCGGGTGTCTTGGGAGTGATGGCTGCTTTGTAAGGTGCGGAGTTGGCTTGACCACTTCAGGGGTCACTTTCTGGCTTGTTTTCTATTCAGGAGATCACGATTGATCCAGGTTCCCTTTCTCCCTTTCTTTTTCGGGTGGACTGTACATGACACTATTCAACATACCATCGTTCATAACTATATCCCCGCGTTGTCGCTTTCCTTTTTTTCTTTATCGCATGTTTCATAAATAGCATTCAGTCCATAGAACAATGCTTCTTTTCTATCCTTATTCCCCTAAAATTACCTATAAGCTGTAGCTTAGTGTACCCTTCTCGCGTTGACTCCACATCGCGTAAACCACCACCAACGGTCCATACCCGAGATCTGACCCTTCTCCCGGCGATCAACCCCGTTGCGCATAGCAGCCATCAAGCACTTTCACTATCCTGCCTCTTACACCTACACCTACAACCAACAATCACCAAACCTTCTACCCACCCTCGTCAACTTTAAACTGTGAAATGATCCCCCCGCCTCCTACGACAAATACCTGACCTATTCCCCACGTCCGCAGGTGTATATCAATGTACACTCACCAACCATTGCCGATCGCCCATCAAACCGCGCGGCACAGCGCTGTTTCCGAGTCGCTCACCCAGATCAAATAGGCAGGATCATCCCTCCCAAAGTTACGTTCGGTGTCCCGTGTCATATGATCGTGGCGGGAGTATAACCCCCCCCCCCCCGGCGGATGGATCTTTTCCTTTTTCATCCGTTGCGGATGGATGTTGAGGACGGCGTCGCAGTCGGCCGGTGGGATTGTGGTGGATTGTGGTGGATTGTGGTTTTGATGGTTGTGCATGCAATTCTCATTCGGAAGCTTGCCTGCCATGCTATTGTGCATCGTCGCCGTGGCGTGCTGACGAGGAATCGTGAGTGATGGCTTCGATCAGCCTGCAGTTCTCTATCGGACGAATGGGGGTAGCGGACGCTTGCGGACGGGGACGGTTGACATTGGCAGTGTTCACTGGAGTCTTCCGTTCACGGCTCGACGACTGTGCGTTGCGATCCAGCCTGAATCTCAAATCGTAGAGTGCTTGAATAATGTGTCGCTGAGAGTCTCCCAGCATGTACTTATACTATACATCATGCACGATCTCAATTCATTGGAGATTGTATTTACTGTAGATAGGTAGGTACTGTACTCAGAAGCCAGCTAGGACTATCGAACGGAAAGTGCAAGAACTCAGCGATGTGAAAAACCACAACCAGCAGCTTCGGAAAATGTACATTAAACTCCACATATCCTACTAGAACAAACTGCCATCCACCCAAGAAAACAAGATTAGACCTCCGTAGTATGGGAGGTGGAGGGCTGGCCATCGCCCACACGCGGGATATGGGCGGCGCCGGCTTTCTCCGCCGCGGAGCCGCGGCGATCAAAGGGTTGCATCTCCTCGAACTGGAACTTGGAGCTCTTCCAGGGTGGCACGTGCATCACGTACATGGTATCGATCTCCTCCAGGGTGCGGCCGCGGCCCTCGATCACCGTCAGGTACACCAGGCCCGCGGCCAGGAACAGACAGCCGGCGAAGACGTAACCGAACCGGAAGTCGATCGCGCTCGTGATGAAGGGGGTGAAGAAGGCCAGCAGGAAGTTCCAGAGCCAGTTGGACGCGGTGGCCAGCGACATGGCCCGCGCGCGGTACTCGGACGGGTACAGCTCCGCGATGATCGTCCACACCATGGGGCCCCACGTGGAGGCGAACCCCAGGATGAACAGACAGGCGAACACGACCATGACCACCCCGGCGGTGTGCGTGCTCTCCGGGTCTTGCCGGTCCAGTTCGAAGTGGCCCACCGAGGCGAAGATCATGAAGCACACGAACATCCACAGCGCACCGGCGATCAACGACCGTCGACGGCCATAGTTCTCGATCAGATACAGACCCAAGAACGTGGTTCCGAAGTTCACACCACCGAGAATCATCTGTGTGACATAGCTGTTGCTGATCCCGGCGCCTTGGAAGATGGTTGTCCCATAGTAGAAGAAGTAATTGGCCTGGGGCCTGTGTTAGCTGGTGCTAATGTTGGAGCGTGCGGGATAGCTTCACTTACCCCGGTCAGTTGTTGCAGTGCCTGGAGAGCCACTCCGACTGCAACCCGGTACTTCATGCGCGGCCCCCTGAAGAGCTGGACCCAGCTCACCTTCCCACGCGCCATTTCCTCCTCGTACTTCTGCTTGATCTCATCGAGCTCTTCCTTCAGTCTACGGTGATTATGGGGAATCCCGTACATCTTGGCGATGGTGTCGGTTGCTCGCTCGACCTTGCCGTGCCGATAGTCATATCGGACGGTTTCGGGGAAGAGCGAAATTCCAACCCCCAGGACGATCGCCCACAGGTAGGTGATGCCCATGGGAATGCGCCAGGAGGCGGTGCTGTCCATGGCTTCGGTCCCGAAGTTGATGCAATTGGCGACGAAGATGCCCAACGTGATGAACAGCTGGTAGGTGCTGTTGCGGTATTAGTCCTTTGACTCTAGCGGATAACAGACACAGGGAGCAAGCATACCTGACCAGTGAGCCACGGATGTGTCTTGGTCCAGTTTCGGCTTGATACATCGGCACGAGCAATGACAATGCCCCGACTCCGAGGCCTGCCACCCAACGACCCATGGCCACTTGATACCACTTCCCGGACGGAGAGGATATCTGAACCGTGATGCCCACGCATACCATGGCCGACCATCCGCTGATGGACCATTTACGACCCACGCGATCTGCAATGGGAGCTGCGACGAGAGCGCCGATCAGGGTGCCAACGGACAGCTACGGAGGATGCGTCAGCCCCGTGAGCAAAACTTTTCGGGAGAGGAACAGAGCTCTTACCAACGCCACAATGAGGCCCGAGCGGGCATTGGTAAAGTAGTACGTGCCATCGGAACGCTGTTGGCCGTATCGCTGAAGGAAGTTCGGCATCTCTAAGAACCCGGAAATCTGACCCGTGTCGTACCCGAAGAGGAAACCTCCCATCGACACGAAGACTCCCATGAGAAAAGAGCGCCATGTGAGGAGTGGGATGGGTGTGTCAACTAGTTCTTCCTCTTTTGCTTCTTGAATCGGCGCCGTGGAGAGGGTTCTATCTGCCGCGGCCTCATTGTCACCGGCAGAGTAAGTGTCGGGTCTACCTCCCGGTCGCCTCAGCTTGGAGAAAACCATTGTTCGCTAGCTTGCTTCTTTCGTTATGTCAAAGTTGATCGGAATCCAGTCATGCAGAGATTTACGAGATCCCAAACCGAGCCGTAACCGGTCTACAGAAGCCGGTTATATAGACTCTAGTATACGAAACACCCAAGACACGGGGGGAGATGAATGATGATTCATGATGTCACGAGATGGCAGCTTCCCGCATCCCTATTGCGTTTGAATCTTCTAGATGGAGGTGTCAGCGACAGAATTTCCACGGGGAGAGCATTCGTCTCGAATACTTAATCGAGAGACCCGGGTCTTTTCCCCGGAGTGAGCTCATGTCAGGTGCTCACGGT